GGTTCAGCGCGTGATGGAATCAAACTACGCCTTTATTGGTGAATCCATCTCTCAAGACCTTGCAGCTGCCAGGCACTGCAATTTGATCAGGGCCCCTGAAGTTATTGGAGCCCGAGGATTCGGCATTGCCACCACCCAGGGTTAGTCACCGTGCACCGTTTCTGTCCCCCCTCTCCGCTTGCATTTCATGGGTCTGAAGTAGCAGACTGACAGAGCAGAAAGCCTGCCATAGCCAAGTCCTGAAACTTGCGCACAGTTCTGCATTAACACCAATAACCTAGTGTGAACAAACTGGTAACCTGCTAGGCAATGTTGTCGTTCTGTAGATGAATTATCACTAGCACTTACCGACTCTTACTCTGAACTGCAAAAAATGCCAACTCTCAGGGGTGTCACTGGTTCCTGTGGGGTTTTTGGTTTGGTTTTGCCTCGGTCCCAGTAACGCAGAGCTCCTGGTGCAGTTACAGGTAGACAGTTTGTTCTCTTGTGGAGCATGACTGCTTGTATTTCTCAAAGCACCTTCACTCTGTCGTTGCTCTGCAAGTATTGTCATACCTCTGTGGGCAGGACGGGAACGGCTGTGAGCCAAGAGAAGCGCTTGGCTTAGCCTGTTGCGTTCTGTCTGCAGAATGACCATCTGACAGTTAGGAAGCAGCACCCAGCTGAGCCCGCATGGTAGCAGAGCAGCGGGTTGCTTAAAAATGTTATAGTGGCTGTGATCTCTGCCATGCTCTTCTCTTTCACGCTACTGCTGCCAGCATCCCTGTGGACCAAGAAACTCTCCATTGCTGTCCTCAAACTGCGGGAATCAGGCGATCTCGACAACTTGCGTAACAAGTGGTGGGAGACCAGTTGCCTCCACAAAAGTAGAGAGCGATGGAGTCCTCTGCAGCCGCAGGCTCTGGGCGGGCTCTTTCTTACCCTTGCGATTGGCCTTGCCTTGGGAGTGATTGCAGCTGTGGTGGAGCTGTCAAACAGGAGCAGACACGCCGCTGGGCACGTAAAGGTAGGGGACGGTTGTTATCGCCTGTCTGCTTCCCTGCGTCCCACCCGCTTCGCATGGACAAGCTAGGCAGCGGCGCTCCGCTGTGCCGTGCTGATTCCCATAGGGATCTTGCTTTTTCTAAGGAAAGCAACGTGGTGTGGGGAGGGGGGAAGGCATGCTCTGTGTTCACTCTTTAAAGCACTGAGATTTCATAGCTTGGGCTGTGTGAACAGGCTAACGATAATAAAATACTCCCCACCCCCAAAATATTAAGTAGAAACATATACTGTAATTCCTAGGCAGCCAAACTGCATTCCAGTAGGCTGAGTGTGTACAGAGGACAGTAAATCATCGATAACAAGTTTATTCTCAAGTATGGCTATTCTTAAAGTCATTTGACAAGCAGGAAACACATGTAAACGAAACTGCACTAGTATCTGAATGTGCACCCTGGTGTTCCCGTTCTCGCTCCATCCACTCCAACGGATGGGTTGTGCAGACTTAAGAGGTGGACTCTGTGACACAGAACAACTCATCCCCTTGTTGCCTCCCCTTGTGTTTTTCAGAAATCTTGTTGCTCCGTTTTCACAGAAGAAATGTGCACTCGTCTACGTATAAAAGAAAATACAAGACAAAGCCAGGAGACTTCAGGGAGGGCTAATGCTTAAGAAATTTTGCCTAAGGAATGGGCACGTATTAGGTTTATACCATACATATTTCATAGGAACTACATCACTGTAGAAAGATGTTTTTCTGCAAGTCTAGAGTGTTAGTTTTCTAATTACAAACACACACAGAGAGCACTTCTGGAGCTGGATACAGAAGAAAATTAAGTGGCTTGGAAGAATTTAAATTGATAAGGGATAGAGTGTAACTGTTAAAAATCAGGGAGGTTAACAACTTGGTAAATAAAGTTGAGATGGCTAAGATGGTGGATCCATATTTAGTTTAGAAGTTTACTATGTAAGTACATGAATGCCCGTAGGAGTAAGTGACTTGGGATAGGTTAATATGAAGCCTCTGCTTATTAATTGCAGTATGAGGTACAATCTTGAAAATTAAAGCTCTCATCTGACTGTTCCAATCAAGAACAACTTCTTCAACATCGTAGTTATAAATAGACTGTACTCTTCCCCTCTTCTAAGCAGAAGATGCTGGTCACTGTGAAGGTCATTTCTGAATCAGAAACGACAGTACTGTTGCATAAACTCCAACACGCAGGACTTGACTTAACTGCATTCTCTGCAGTGGCCGAAAGCCCGAGAACGGGAGACCTTGCAATTAAGGAGCTACCAGACTTAAGAAGTGCAAGACATGGACTTGTCCTTTGTCAGCTTCCCATCATAGGGTAAGGTTCCCTGTTCAGCTATAGAGGATCTTTTGTCCCAGTTAACCTGATCAAGAAGTACTTAGGAAGAAGATTGATAGTTGAAATCCAACAGTACTACAGCCTGACGTTTGGTGATCAGAGGATTCAAACAAAGTACATGTTCACCAGGCAAGGGTGAGGCAGTGCGTAACGGTGTTTTGCATTATTCTCTTGCTCTCAAAGAATCATCTTTGAAATTCATGGGGAACAGTTAGCTCAGCTGCATATTAAATAGTTTTCTAATTAAGCTGTTTTTCATTTCAGACCTGGAATGACTGATGCATGCACATGCTGGTTTGCAAATTCATGGTTAAATCACTCCATTTATGTACTGCACATCTGACGGAGGGGAAAAAAAGCAAATTCAGTTACTTGGAAATGGCTTTAACTGCTCTGCATGAACAAAGAGACTAATTCCTGTCAGTCCCAGCATTAAATAACTGAAGGCAACAGAAACTAACAGGCCCGTGACGGGAAAATAGCCGGGTGTTTCTGAATGCAGCAGTACACATTCACCGTGAGGGTAACTTAGTGAGGCTCAGCTTCCAACTACTGCTACGGAATTTAGTATAGGTGCAGAACTCCCCTCCCACCCAACGGTTAGCAAGAACAAGCAGTGAAAGCAATAGGAGTTACGAGTTCTCCCAGCTGTGGGTAAACTAGTGCTGTTCGCTTAGCGGCTATGCGCTCTCGACAGTTGTATTTCAAGTACAGCTTAAGCAATGGTGGTTAGCTTAGAAGGCGGATCAGTCCTTCAATCAAATTAACTGCAAAGAGCATGAAACGTTTTAGGTAAGTTTAAAAGCTGACATGGAAAATGCAATGTCAGATTCACTCAGCACTTTAAAAACTATTTGGTATGTGCCATGTCATTGCTGGCAGAGTAGGCAGAGATGTATAAAAAAAGGTTTCATTGACATTTAAATATATTTCTATATGAATGTCTCACAGAACAAAAAAATAAAGTCTTTTCATCACAAATACTGCAGCATTAAAATAAACACTTACCAAAATAAACAATGAGTGATATACATATATATATTTGAGTGTGTATACTATAGAGTGAATCGTATTGTTGCTTTTTAAGTCACAAAAGCACAATATAAATACGGAATTTCCTGTGACCTCTTTTCCCTGTTGTAATAAAAATACATTCTTTACAGTTAAAGTAAAACTAGTGCAAGTCCATTCTGCTGCTCCTGTTCCCCCAGCTGACCGATACGCATCATTTACATGGCACTTCATACTTAAAAATGACACTGAAAATTTTCCCTCCGAGGCGATCCGCAAGCCAGGAGTTTTTGATAACGGCAAGCTTGAGGCTCTCACAGTTCAAAGCCGCGTAGTAATTTGTGTGGATGGCGCGCCCCATGCCTTCGATGATAACCAAGTCTGTCTGCCGTTCTCTGACCAGCACAGCCAAGCCTTTATCCAGCCGGCTGAAACGAGAGGTCTGGTTTAGAAACAGTCATCCTGACACACGTGACACATCAAAGGCAGGCTGTTCTAAGGGCTTTATCGTTTACATAAAACGTGGCGGGGTATGGAATTTCGGATGGAATTACTGATGCCAATAAAGAGGAACACCTTAAATCAAAGGAAATGAGATTGAAACGTAGTTTTAAAAGCTTCATAAATGCATGTGGAATTGGGATTTCCCAGAAAACACAGGTAAGTTCTGTCTCCAATAGAGAAACTCCTTAAAAATAAATAGGTTAACAACACGAAATGCTGCTGCTCGTCAAGTGGATTTCTTGGTCACATGCAGGATTTTACGTCATCCATAACTAAGCTGCTCCTGAAGCTGACCCTGCGTCACTGCTGACCACAAGTGTGATCAATAAGACGTGCAACAACGAGTAAGGCTCGATCACTATTACAGGGCTGTAAATCCAGACTAAGCAACTCGTAAGGGTTTTGCAAATGTGATTCACATCAGGAAAGGCGGCTGAGATACTCCAGAGCTAAGCCTCTGAGCATCCTGCAGCTGATGGAGACAAATAACAAAGTGGTGCTTTGCCGATATACCTTAGATCTAGGCACGGAGAACTCGAGCCTGTCTGCACCAACAGCAGCTTCTCCTCCCTCAGTGCAGATCTTGATTTAAAAAAAAAAAAAGACAATGTTAAACAGCTACCTCAACAGGGTCATGCAAACCTGGTAAGCAGCCAGACGACAATGAGTATCTAAGCTCTCTTTGCAAAGGCTTCTTTTCCTGCTAGGACTTCACCAAGAAACACAATGTTTCCTTGAGGAAAAGGATCATTTAGGTGGCTGTGTATCCTCTACTGGGGATACTCCAACTGTGAAATAGATGGATTTTCCTCTATTCTTTTTAACATAGAAAATGTATGTTTTAGTAGCTTGAGTGCTTAGCAGGGAAGACACAGACCAGAAATGTAATTATGGGTGTTCACAAAAGATCTGATTTCTAAATTTTTCACCTTAATGAACGTAAATGATCTGCCTTAGCTTACCTCCAGGTTGCAGATTTCAGACACTAATAAACACAGTTAAATATGAACTAAGTCTGTACCAAGGAACTTGCTTTTTCCTTCTACGTATCGTATGACACGTAACGAAGGCTGGTTATATGCTTACTGAATAACTGGATCCATTGCTGCTATCCGTTCAGTAACGATCAGGGACTCGCTGTAGGTGACATCATTTAGGGCAGGGCCAGAGTTACAAGCCAATATAACCTGAGGTAAAGATGTCAGAAGAGTTCACCAATTAATGCAGTTCACACATGGCGGCAGAGCCGCTCCTCTGTTTAAAAATCACCATTGCCCGACGTGTTTTACAAAGGAGGGAACGCAAAGAGAAAGGCTGGAGCCCCAGTCCTCGTCTCCCCTCAGTTAACCAGCGATATCGGGTCTTTCGACATTACAGACCCTTGTTCAGCAAACTCGGGTCTGACAGAGGCGGGCTTGGCTTTGCTGCCTCTCACAGCCTACTTAAAGTCAGACTCTGGAGTCCCAGGGATTTGGATTATTCCCAATTTAGGTGTTAGCAGCCAGGCTGGTAAAGCGTACTGCTGGTGGGTAGTTACCAAACCTCTCCCCAGTTACCAAAGCTCCATTACATAGTGAATTCACGGTGAAAACCACTTACCTCTGTCCCTCTAGACAGCAGCTCTCTGACAAAAGGAAAGACTCCTAAAATTATGTCTATTCCACTGTTATCTGCGAAAATTAAGGCACATTTATGAGGGGGACCCTCCTGTAAGAGAAAACCGATGTATTCAGGATTGAGTTCACAATTCATTTCAGTGAAAAGCGTGTGTTATTTAGAAGAACTCACTTGCAGACCCCACATTTCATACCCTTAAATGACTGGCAATTTTGGTTCTCAAGCAGCAGCATAACTCATCAGAACATCACCTACCCTCGATCTTAGAAATCGGTTTCCCTAACATCACTGTCTTTGCACGGTTACCTAAAACAGCCTTTAGTTACTTTGTTTGAGAGAGGGCTTTCAAACGCCATTAGCGAAGCCTACACCTGCCAGTTACGGCCATGCCTAACTCCAGCAGCTCTGAACGGGAAGGGCGTTCAGAGGCTTCTGAACCGCGGGCCGCCAGGCCTGTGATCCTGCTGGCGGGAGGCGAGGCCCTGGCTCGCGTGTGGTTATGCCGTGCAGCTGGGGAATACCAGTCTCCAAAATGGAAGCAGCAGCATGGGCAGCTGCCTACGTGAACGCGCTGGTTTTCAGGGTGAACCTACCTTTGTGGCTGTTTTAAGCTAGCATGCTGTAGGGTGAACAGGATTCCCTTCTGCCAGGAAAGGGCAGGATGGACTGCTGGGGGCAGTGACATCCTAAAATGAAAAGATATTTCCTATTCTCCATTAACCTTTTAATTTGCTCTAAATCTGAAGTTATGAAACTTAGTTCACTCCAGTTCATACCAGCAGAAGAATTTTTATAGTGAACAATGCTTAATTCCTAATAAAAAACTGTCAGGACAGTGCTTGAAGTTCCTTAATTATCACTGCTATACAAGATAGCTGATACGTTTGTTTTAAGATGTAATACGTAATGATTTCTCATAGTCTACGCATACCAAACCTTTTTGCTATCATTTCCAACATAGAGACTTACACAAAGAAACAAAAGCTTTTCAATTAACCTTAATTAAACAGTAATAGAGATCACAAGGGCAAAAAAAGCTTTGCTAATTGATAGGTTAATTACTTTCAGCAAGCTCCTAAATCCATGTTGCTCTTAGGCTGGGTACTTAGATGGAGGAACAAGCCATTTGCACCCAAGGTTTCAAAGTTATGGGGCTGGCTGTATGGAAATAAGTGCCCTGGGACAGAAGGGCCACGGTATGGTCGCTTTGGAACAGCTCTGACAGCGGCCGCGTTCCAAACGCTGCAGTTTCCGAAGGAATTCGGCCAAGAAGCTTGGTAAGTAACGAAGCGTCAGGCTAATTCCCTTTATTCCTTTCTTTATGGTAAGGCTGCTGAATTACTGGTACTGTGTTAGCAGAGTTTGAGTTGTCTGAACAGAGGTCTGTTAAATCTGTTAAAACCCCAAGATTAATAAGGTGATTTTATGATGAATGTATTTAATCACTCAATGGTTAGTGACAACCGTGGAGTCGTACCTTCAGTCGCTCTAGCCACTGGCTGTAGGAGTCTTCTAACCAGGGACGCTCTGTGTCACAGACAAAAGCACGTTAGCGTTTCTTTGGGGCAAGCAGTACTTCTGTACATCATGAAAAGCAGGTGGTGCCCCTGTGCAGATGCTTCAGCATTAAAGTATTTGAGCTCAGGTTTTGAACGCTAAACGTGTAGATTCAAGGAGTTCCTGAGCTCTTAATTATGGGAATAGCTCAATTACAGCAGTCTTGAAATGGAATTTTCATAATACAGCAATGGAATCATGCAAGCTGGCTATCGTAACGACTCATCCCAGGATGGATGGTGTCGTACGTCCCAGGACACGATCTCCTTGACAGGATTGGAACAGCTATGGAAAATAGCATGGGCAAGCTAGTCTGAGTATCTGTGCGGCTAAGACTTCTGTTCAAGGAGGGAGGTTTCCAGATTTCGATTCCTTTGGAACACAAACAGGAACATCCCACCGAAACTCCGTGGCCTGTTTCCGATAACCCTAGCAGGTACTAATGATTTCTTGTCATCCGGGCAGCAGAATTGCCCCAATAAACACATTCACACTCTCCTCTGCTCTCACATTAACACACTCCACTTCCAACCACCACCACAGATCTCCCTCTACCTTGTAGCTTTGACTTGGCTTCTTCAAATCCAAATTGTGGCTCAGATTCCAGAACACTGTATCAGAAGAGAAATAAAGGGTACGCAGTTAAGCAGCTTCATCTCCCGTAAATATAATTCAAACATTTCTTTAGCAGGTGGTCAGCAATTTTATTGCATCAGTTATAATGGGGAGTGTGAATAGGTCCAGCGACTGAGAAACAGATACTTTGTGCTTATGTTAAAAACAAAAGGCTCAGATGTACATTAAATTAGAGTTCTTACGCTAAAAGAAAAAGGCGTCAGCAATACACAAGTGTTTGCAGGCATTAGACTGCAGGCAAAAAAGAAACCTTTTGGTCTGCAGACCACCATGAAAATGTAGTCACGATCTAAAATATCTGGGTGGTAAAACGGTGCTTTACAAAGTCTAATTTGAAGATCGGGCTACAAAAGTTTTTTTAAAGTTGCACCTGCGTGGGGAAAAAAAGGAATTAAAATAACCAGATACAGGTTTTAAAAGCTACTGCTATTGGCTACGTGTGATGAGGCTTTAGCTAACGAGATGGCTGGATTCTAAGCTGTCAGCTAAACTACCACACCATCGGGGGAATGCTGGCCAGCCACGTCTCCTAAAGCTCCTGAAATCTAGGACTACGTGACATTTAACTCCGTCTTGGTTCCTTCCTTCGTGAGAGCTACACAACACGAGTGGCACATGGACGAACGGCTCTAACTGGTGCCAGTTTAGGTTTCTGGTTGTGGGCAAGATCAGAAGTAACACAAGACCAAGAACGCCCACGTAGCCTTCAAGCACCTTGTTTTTAATGGACTTGATTTAATCAGAGGGAAAACTCCTCCCAGATGCAGAAAGGGGAAGGAAGGGCTGAATGGCAGCTGTAAAACAGCGTCCCTCTCCCGTGCTCTTGGATCTGTATGACCAGGCCCACAAAAAGAAAGGCCTAGAATTGAAAAGTCAAAAATATTTCAAGACTGTTGGCATTAATATCCTCAAATGAATTCATGGCTGCTGACAAGGTATGAGGAAAAAAGCTCTCCCTATAGTGATAGAAATGTATGTTGATCAAAACTAATTAGTATTTAGTCATCAAAAGAGAGCACCCGATTCAGCCCGCTGAATATATACTGCGATATCAGGACAACGGGAGGTTGCAGAAAAATAGCGCATTTCCTATTCTAGGAACAGAGTACAACACACACCCCAAAGCAGTGCTAATAACAACGCTACAAGCAAAGCAGCCAGAATATTAAATATGCTGTCGCTTAATTCAAACATTCACAATGACGTGTCTGCCAGATTTCAAGGGTGGAAATGTAAACTTTCCCGCACCACAACAATGCTTGTGAATAAACAACCAACATTTGATTAAGATGAAATACAAACTACAATTAAAGTTAGATTGGTGCACTTTATTTTTTTTAAAAAAGAAAGAACAACTGAATATTCTGTATCTTAAAAGGGTGCTTTTAAAATATTTAACACCTACTCTGAGACTGCTTTTGCTCCCCAGTCAAAGACATTCCCCGCAAGAAGTCCTTTCACCAGAGCAAACTGCCTCTCCTCCCAGCCTAATGAATCCAAAGATTCGATTACGCTTTGAAAACATTTTAAGGCTATGCCATTTTCTTTCTGCTTTACCTGTAAGAAAGACATGAAACATTGGATTTATAGACAAAAATTTCTTACCCCTCATTGGTTGTCTCAGTCCCAAGACCACGTTCAAGCATTCTCCTCTACGTTCATGGCCTCTAATGGACCAACAAGTTACTGTTATCAGCATGCTTAGTAGCGACAAGAAAAAAGTTTCCTGGGATTCTAATAAAAAGTTTCATTAGTGCTAGGACAGGATTTGTAGCCCAAGAATTCCTTTTCTTAATAAGTTAGAGGTGCAATAGATCTTGAGCAGATTGGGGAATGGGAGAGTGGACACACAAAAACTTTTAGTAGCAACACGATCCATCGAAGCCGGGTAATTGCCACGAGAACCTCGCCGCTACGAGCTTTACAAAAACCAGAGAAGATTTTTTTGATTTTTGCATCAAGAGTTTCATCATCCCAGATGCTCAGAAGCTCTTGAGTTTTTTTCTCTGCTTCTGCCTCCAGTGAGATCAGTGTTACATAGCTAGTTATCTTAAAAAAGAATTTAAAAGTGATACTGGCTTCCATCTTTACACCAAGATCTTTTCTTGGCAATATCTTGTCTGAATTACCCAAAAGCAAACATAAGTAAAAGCCACCTCACTTATTTTTTTACCTCTTTCTTAGAGTGAATGTAACATCTGACAATACAGCTAGGGAGAACTTCCTACGTACTTTGTAGAAATATATCGAGGGTCAGGAAAAAGCCTCTAACCAGACACCGGCACTGTTGTTATTTATATCCCCGCACAGACAAGTGGCGAGGATCAGCCCTACAGAAAGTTATTTTTGAGAAATACCGACTTCCCATGTCCTCTCCCCCGACCATATTATGTTACAGAATAAAATACAAAGAGTAAACAGCTGCACGATGGCACCATATATTTTTAAGAGTTAGAGATTGTGCAGTCAATCAATCCAGAGGCAGTACGTAGGAAAGCAGCACGGTTTGGTCTAAGGACAGTTGGCCTCAGCAAGTACGGGAATGTGTGAAGGTTTGTTTTTTGTTTTTTTTTTTTTCAGGCCTTTTTTGGCAGTGATGAGGGGGGAGGATGACTATCTCTCTGAGAACACCCCCCTTCCTTTTCTTTCCTTCGGGGAGGGGGTGGTGGTGAGGAAAGGAAAGCACACACACTTGAAGGTAGCTAAAGGAACACAGAAATATCAGTTCACAGCATTGGTGACTTTGCATGGAGCTGCTGAGATCGTTAACTGCTCTGCAAGATAACAACGCCAAGTGTCTTTTACAACTGCCTGCAACTGACATTTATTGGACAGTACTTACATAGCTACGCACAGCTTTACATCTGAAGATTATTTCCACACCATGACGAGAATTATAAGAATGAGGAGAAAAAAAGAAAAATTCCTGAAATCTGCCAGACTGCAGTAGCAGCCTCAGTACAAAGGGAAATAAACTGACTGTCCTCAAAACTGAAATTCTCAGGTCACTGGCGAGGTACGCCATAATCGGAAACGCAGGCTTCTCCGTGCAGCTCCCTCAGCTCTGAACTGAAGGAGACACCTCCTCGCTGAAGGAGCAGGTCACCACGGTATCTGGTGGCAGACACCACGCACTCACCAGGAGCAGGACTGACACCATCAATTCGCTTCCCAGGTGTATCAGACAAGTTAAGCTGATAATATTTTTGGTTAGCATTACCCTCATCATGAGCACGTTAGAGGTCAAAGGCTTTATATCCCATTACCCATCGCTGTTTCTCCCCAGTGACAACCACCAACTGGTTAAAACTGCTGCAAGGTAGCCAGTTACTAACCTCTCCCCTGTAAGCCATTACTTATACCAAGTTTCAAAGTATGGAAAAAGAAGTGTCTTGAACTTACATGTTGTCCACCCTGGAAAGCAAGAACAACTTACCTTTGAATAGGGATCCGGAAAATTGAACTCGTTTAAACAGTGTTCCCTTGTATCCAAAAGACTTCTAACTGTTAAGGTACCATATGCACTTTAAAAGGGGAGAAGGGGGGAAGAAAAAAAGAGAGAGAATCATAGAATTGTTTAGGTTGGAAAAGACCTTTAAGATCATCAAGTCCAACCGTTAACCCAGCACTGCCAAGCCCACTACAAGATCAAGTACTTCAGACAGGAAAAAGTTTTCGCCTCTGTGTCCTCCATAAGTCAGCACGTCACACAACCACTTAAGTTAAAAGCCTTTACATGCCATATGTGCTGAACACCGTCTCTAAGCGGTAAATCTACTATACAGTTTATTTAAATAGAGAGGGAAAATGTTCAGAGCAAAGCTAGATACTTGAATTAACATGCTACCATTTTTAATAACCATGTAACAATTTTTAATAATGAATTTTCTGCCGAGAAAAACTTAAACATTAAATCCCAATATACGAGATCCAAAAGTTCTGTGCAGAGGACCTGACATTTGGCACATCAACTTGCTATAGCCTTCAGCCTAGTTAGCTTTCAGTTTGCTCTGCTTCATAACCTAGTTAGCTTTCATGTAGTGTTTAGTTAGCTTTTAATTCGTTTTTTTGAACCGAAGCAGCAAGTGATGAAAAAGGGAAAACAAAGACACTTACAAAGGCTGCTGCCTGAGCGTCTGGAGCTTATTCCAGTATTTCTGTCGGAACTTTTCAGCTCTCTCTGGTGCATCAACAGAGTCTGGCTGACTGGCTGCAGCACGCTTTGCCACCTGGTAGAGAAATGAGGCCAGACTGAAGTTAGGAAATGAATTCTTCCTCCACGTAACGGATCTGAAGTTCAGTCTGAAAAATAACCCCTCCATCTGCTGCTCTGTTCGGTGCCTGCACGCTATCCAGTCCCTCCCACACAGTATCTTCCAGCTTCCCTTTACTCCAACCACTAAAGAATAATTTTAAATACCTCCTTTCTTCCCCAAAAATTTAAAGTTTATTTTCAAGACTGTACTTTCAGAAATTAAACACAAGTTCTAACTACTTATAGGAGGGGAAAAAAAATAACAAACACACACACATGAGGCAAAACAGGCAGAAATTTAACAGTCCACACCAACCCCTCGTGTTCTTTTCTCCTTTGCTACAGCAAGGTCAAGTCAGCGTGCTGCCCCTGTGTTTTTCCCAGCCCTTCTCCTCTTGACACGCACTCATGAAGTTCCCGATTTGGATTTGCTTACTAAGTATATGCAACTCCTCAGTACTAGCATGCACTGACTGAATCAGTGTCACAGTGCAGAAAACATAACTCATGTCTGATTGACTCATGCTCTTCGAATGCCAAAGCGGCTGTAAGGCAGCAGGACTGCTCCCAAGAGTAAGAACAATGTGAGTATTTTTGGCCTTTCCCTTTTTGGCCTTTGATTGTATAACCATCCTGCCTGCCTCTCTGTATAAAGAGGTGGTAAGTGCCACTTGAGAGAGAAGATGCTTTGAAAACACCTTATAAAAGAAAAAAAAAAAAAGAAAAGGCAGCACCACAGGAGAAGAATACTTCTGCCTTTGAAGGTATCAAGCACTTCCTTAGGAGACTGGGACAAAGTCAAATGCCTCTGTCAGCAGGGGAAAGAGGAACCGTACTTACACACAATAGGTTTGACACAGCAGATACATTCTGTAGGGTAAACGCGTTGGTCCACAGAAGATTTATTTGCTAAATATTTGCACCATTCATACATATGACTGGTTTGTGACATTTACCCCATCCAGTGCCTCCTCAAAGCAGGTGAGCCAGTATTTTCTGGCCAGGGCATCATCTGTGAGGTCAACAGTGTCTGGAATATAGGTTGATGGGTCTTTCAGCAGTGGCAGGTTAACAAGCGGTCTCTCCAACCTGTCCATTTCGAGCATGTCAAACTAGGTGAAAAATGAGAGAGGCTTATTAGAACTTACTTGGAAATGGATTCATAACAAATTAAATTAGTACAGGGCTACAGAAGTCCATCCACAGTTAAGACTGACAAATTTGCTGACCACTATGTCAGAGTATATGCCATCATAAATAATCCACTCTCCTGCATGGATTATTTATCCATGCCCATCGTATAGATAGGGATTATCACGTTTCAGGTTGAAAACTTACTATAGGCCCTCATTTTATTATTTTCCTTTTCTGTCAAATCTGCTGGGCTACCAGGTTCAAAGACAGGAGCACAAAGAGCTGAGCACAGGCTTATTTGTAACGCAATGTTGCTACGCTGCTTTACACCTTCCTTTTACAATCCCAATCAAGGCTCCAAAACCTTTCCTTACACCTTGTGAAAACAATCCTTGGGACCAAATTTCTAAGGATAGAGATTAAATTCATGTGAAATACGTATAGTTACACAGCTCTGTACATAAAGTGTGCCTTATTTCTTGCATCTAAAAAAACCTGTGCACGTTTATCTTTATTTTATACAACTATCTAATCGCATTGCATTTGCGAACGCTGCATGGCCTAGAAATGTTCAGACTAAGTAAAGATTATAGCCCACAATGTAACAAGACTTTGTATACATAAACCAAGGTGGTTGCTACAGAAAGACTGCCTTCAGTATTCATTTCATTGCTGAAAAGTGGACATTTCTGAACTATGCTTGTTGCAAAGAGACTTCACTTTACGTGAACAAAGTGAGTGCCGAGCCATAGAAGACTTCAAAACGGAGTAACTGTGGACAGTACGTTACAGCTGGTTTGAGACTCCTGTACCACTGCCAGCATGAAAAAAAATAATCTTTTCACAGGTTGACCACTTTGGTTTATGTACGCAAAGTCTTGTTATATTGTGGGCTGGAAAAACACTGACATGCGAACCGGTAGAAGACAGGAGAACACAATGAGCTCCACTATTCTAGCTCCTTTTCAAAAGCACTTCAGTAGGTGCAGTATTAGAATATTTTAACAACCTTAACGTACTTTCTGATTGCTTACTGTATGCCAGTTTCACTGTGAAATCGGAATTACTGTCTTGTCAGTGTATTTAAGAGGTGACTGGGCTCATGCTCTTCTATCCGATTATATATTTCTCTTCTCATAGGAAGTAAATAAACGCTGCTTAAAGACAGTGGAACATCAGATTCAAAATTCTGAAGCACAGTATTTCAACTGTAAAGCAAAACCCAGCTACTTCAGAGAAAGGGTAAAAGAGATGAACGTGTCCCCCCCAGCTTTGGGGAAGGAGAATAAGACAAAGTAGCAGCCACAATCTGTTTATATGAGACATTACATCAAACCATGGCCCAAGACAAGACAACATCACACATGACACAAGACACCATATTAGTCACTTCTTTGGGTAAGCAGGAGTCCCAGGGCAAGCAGCAACTAGCTTGCGAATAATTATCTATTTTCAAATCACTATTACTAAGAGAAGGCACTTCGTTCTAGAAAAGACAACCACATACTGTACCACTCCTTGATCTCTGCATAGGGTAAACATCAGGTGATGTGCTCATAAGACCAGAACTCCCAGCATAATTCTCTCCCCAGCTATACTGATTTGGATCTAGAAAAGAGAAAGACAGAGAGACACATAATCTGAAAAATAAAACTGAAAATACTCCCGTGAGTGAGTCTAGAGTTAGCATCCCTTCAGAGAAGCTGCTTCACTACAGAAACCATCTTCCCTTGTCTTTATAAGCAAACATAATTGTTCCCTCTAACCCCCAAAAGAAATGTTTCGACCACTCAGTGAATTACCAAGCTCTAAAGAGCTTCAACCTGAAGGAGACATAAGACAATTAAAGTTCTAAACTCATTCTTTCTTCAACCCCCTTTCCTTGTCATTAAGGGCTATAAACAGCATGCCTCCAAAGCACTATCACTGATCAGAGAGACAATTTCTTATTTCTAAATCTAGAACCTTTATTAACAAAATATAATTACGAAACTCTCAAAGCACAATGTAAGTCTCATATAAACACTGACGTTACTTCTAGAATTTTTTTTTATTTGAGAAAAAGTTTAATCAAGTTCATATGTACAGTACATGCTGCAGAAGCAACATCTTTAATTCCTCAGTAGCTGATTCCTTGCCCATATCTATAAAATGGGTATGAACAGAATTCCACATCCATTATTCTGAGGTATATTTGATATTTACTAAAACTAAGTACCATTAACCACCTTGCTATCTGTTCCACTGTAACTAATATGCTGACTGGCTTGCTAGTACATCAACAAGAGAAAAAGAAAAGAAAAATGGCAGAATTCAACCAGAGCACCCTAGACCCAAAGAATGCTGGACAGAGTGTCTCATCCTTCATAAATGTCTGCGAGGCTTTTCACTCTCAAACCAACACAGTTTTGAGATGCTGGTCTTCTTCAGTACGTTAACTGAATTCAGAAGCTGGCCTCTTAAAGAGGGGGAAAGTTCTCCGAAACCACATTTCCCCAATCTGATTCAGAGTTACGACAGCTCTTTGCAGAAATGCAGAAGAGAGCCAAATCCTGCTGGCTTCTCAAAGGTGAGCAGGAAAACCAGTGAGAAATTAAGATGTCCCTGCCAGAATATATAAACCCAAAGCCCAGCATCTGTGTTTATTAGTGCCAAATGTATTTATTTAGGCAACAACTTACATGCAGCCTCTTAAGAGAAACTTGGACATTACACTGACATTTCAGAACACAGCATATACAGAACATAGCAGTGCTGTACTTACTGTCTTGTTCAGCTCCTTTTAAAAATGCCCCAATGGCTCCCAGGTAGCCTTCATGTCTCAGGAACAATGCCTGAACCTCTCCCTGCCACAATATGAAACATTGCAATTGGATGGTCCCTGATGGCTAATATGTACTTCTTTGTCACTAGTTTTACACTTAAATTTAATAGAAACAACTAGAAGATGGTAATATTCATTTGTGCTACATTCTAACACATTCAGTAACTTTAATGGTGCTCCTGAAACACAGCTTCAGGAGGAACTGCTTACATACATCATTCCACAATTATTAAACAGCTGGGGAAAAAATACATGCAGAAGTGGTGTGTACTCTAAGCCTGCACAACCACAGAAGCAGAGGGAAGCCAGTGCCTTCACTAGAAAAGACCACTGCATCATGCCATGAATATTCAACTCCTCTTGCTTGAACAGGCTGGAAACGTAAGGTCACCTGATCTCTAGGTCATCAACGTAAGCGTGTGCCACTGTGCATCCAACGCGTTCAAGACATCGCTCATTATCTTTATTCCATTACACTGCTATTTAACGTTCAACAACATACAGACACTCTGCATATTATCCATAGGCAAGCATTTCCCCCGTCAAATTAGTTAATTTAATTGTTAATATAATACACAAAAGCTCAGGAGAATAAGAACAGCCTCCATCCTAGCAGCAGGGTCCCTTAGCTTTCCTGGGCACGGCTGGGTGAGACCCAGCCTTCTCCAAAGGACAATCAGCTATGTCTGCAGCAGCCACTATAAGAACAGTTGGCACTGAGGTAAGCTACAGTAAAAATCAGCTACTATTCACGGTGAGATTTGGATTTGAATCGCTGATAAAGCTATTCTTACAAGAATCTAAAGCTGTAGTTTTACAATAGTTTTCTTCAAACCCAACAAAGTTCTACAGAAAGGGACTGCAATGGTGAAATAAAGGGGGAAAAAAGGCAGCACACAGGAGTCTCTTGCCTGAAGAACTAATGAGAAAAAAAGTTGTGTCATCTATTCTATGAAATTGCAAAAGTGCAGGGACTAATCTACCTGTAACAACCATTAAGTGAGTTTTTGGACTTGACCGTTTTTCTAATGAAAAATCTTCAGTATTTTCCACAGCTTCAAAACCTGCAAAGAACTACAGCTTGGTTGGTTTTTGTTTGTTTTTTTAAACAACAAACCACAAACCCCCCCACTGATACTAACTGCTAACTACCTCAGCAGAACAATCCCACAGTGCATAGCCTAGGGGGTGGAAAGAAATAGATGCAAGTCAGCAAGAGGAATTGAATAACAATGGTAGCTATCTAAGAAAATAGGGAAAACTCATTACTTGGCAGCTACAAGACAGACTGTCAATCAAAAAATAATAATAAAGAGAGAGAGGGAGGGAGGGAGGGAGAAAGAGAGGCCAGACAGAACTCCCAGGCAATTCACATTGATTTTACCCCTCCCACAACAGATCTTTATAGCCCTGCCTTACCTACCTAAACAGCAGCCCTCTAAACTTACTACAAGTGCAAATTCGTTTATTAAAGTCTCCCGACAACCTAGAAAGATAACTAAACACGTGATTTTGCTATTAGGAAAATCTCTGTTTTCATTACCTTGGAGAAGAAGTTGATACTGTAGGTTATTGTGCGCATAGTAACAGGGTGACCCCGAATAAAGAATCCTCCAAAATATATTTTATCTAAGTTATGGAGTTTGGCATAGAGGCAGGCAAGTTGACCAATGTCATTGCTGATCATATGTAGTAAACTTTTTGCCATATCTTCTTTGGAAAATTCTTAAAGGAAAGAAATAGTAAACCAAATTAAACACAGTTGAAGAATGCTCAAACTGTAGTTTTCTAACAGACAGCCTACAGCTGGAGAAACAAAAATAGGGAGTTTGACCAGTCTCTTTGTGTGTGTAGAAGAAAGGTGTGTCCGTCCATCGTGTCGTCCCCCCCCCCCAATCTTTTATTTGGCCAAAGATATCACGAAAAAAACACTAAGCTTCTGTGAAATACTGCTTGAAAGAAACCTCCTTGAAAAGCCAACAGCAAATGGCAAGAACTCCACTTCTTCTCTCTAGGAAGGACGGATGACGGTTCATCCATCCATCTTGACCTGAGATGCACTGCAAGCTTTTTATTATAATACTCCAAATAAAATTGTAAATTATAGTAAATCACTGCCATAGGTCCTTTTCTGGACCAAGAAAGCCACATATATTTCCCACAGGAATGAATTAACATTGGGCTAACTAGACAGCTATTTTTGTCATTTGCCTAGACTTACGCAATCCCAAACTGAAAATCTGAATGCCTGCTTTTAAGACAGTACTGTATAATATTTTTAATCAATAAAATACTGTGCAGGCAAAACTCTTGTGGGCCAGACCATGAAAAGGACTGGTGGTTATTTTCCAGCTCTACTTGTTAGATCATTATAAACATCAGATTCCCAAGGGCCAGAGGAGATGGTCGCACCACTTCTCCTCATTAGTTTCAAACAACAACTCCAAATAACTGGAGCAATTCAAGCAGCGCTCCGTGGCCCCTCTCAGCCCAGCATGCCTAACAGAGGGAAATAGATAAGACCAGATAAGTTTATGCTGATGAAGCTGGCAAATATTTTTCCATCCATTTAAGTGTTCACAGGAAGCTGGCATAAGCAGCAAATCCATGCTGATGGGCAATATAAAGTATTAACTGTACAGCAAATCTTGGGTAGATCTTCTATATACCAATACCTTTATCTGCTGTAGTAGATTTCCCGAAGCTGCTAGCTATCAGATTTCCACTTAGCCCCAGAGTCTGGTAGGCGCCTCCATACACATCTTTCACCAGCATGTCTACATTTGTGTGCTGTCCCTTTGAAGCGAGTTGCAGCAATTCATCAAATTTCTGAGGATGAGAAGCAGAGTTACTGTAACTTTGCTGGACAGCCAGAGAACCTTGCCCATAAACCCAGAGTTCTGCAGCATCTTTACTGACCAAAACCAGGGGTTTTGGCTTGTCTTAGAATCAACCCTGCCAGCAAAAGATACATTATTTCTAATTACAAGGATTTATCCAGAGTCCGTATCTTATCAGACAGACTGATCTTAAGTGGAGTTTCTTTAATGATGAAAAGCACAACCATCCTCTTCAGTTATCTGCAGTTATCTGCAAATAATTTGTTGAATTTCCCCTGAAAACTAGAGATGGATCAGCACATACAAAATAGTCAGAAGCCTCATGCATCTCTTATCTTGGAATGAAGTCAGAAACACAGTAACTAAGAGCAAACAGAATTATGTCTTCTTGAGGCATAAGAAAAAAAATGTTTAAAAACCAAAAGGCTACGTCTGCCTTTACTGTTGCAGAAATGCATGAAATTAAAATTGCACGCAATCTGCATTATACCAATACTTAATTTATAAGTCTGTTAACCCTAATTTCTTCTTCTACAAAATCGGAGAGAATTAAGAGCAGACGTTGTCATGTTCTAAGATTTCTTTTTTAAAAGCATCACACAAAATATTGCAAGTATGGCTCTTCCCTTTGACATTTTCTTATTTGGTGCATATGTAACTCTAGCTTTTTCTACACTGCTGACATTTAGGGACACCTATTTAAGCCGCACGGATCTTTGAGACAGGAAAAACTAGCATGATTTAAGAGCCGAGTTAGGCAGAGCAGTACTAAATCAGGCCTTTTTCTGGCAGATTACCAGCTTGGGATTTAAGTGACGAACCCCTGAAACCGTAATGTGCAACAAAGAGAGACAGAATTCCTCCTCTCGACTCCCAGACATTCCGCAGTAATTGGGTGCTCTCTGCTTTGCTTCTGCAGATAATATTGCAGGAACTAGGCAGGCATTTCATGTTGACAAAGAGTACAGAAAACTAACAGGCCACTTTGAGGAAGCTGCTCTCTGCATTACAGACATTATTTGTCCTTGCTGACAAACTCCTTGAGTCCCAAGTAGGATTACTATTTTGCCACCGATGAGCATCTGATTGGTTTTGTCCCTATATTCTACCAGTATCTTTTTACATTTAAAGCTTCCTTTTATGCATCAGAAACAACAAAAATATGAACCTAAATCAAGGACTCAGCCTTGTTATCTAACAGCCTAGGACCACAAGCACCTAATGGAGAGTATTAGAATTGTCCTGAGCATTGCAGAACCACCCGTTCTGTTTCTGCACAACGGCAGCAATTCTTTGAATAAAAGGTAAACCCCCACGAGACAGACGTAATTTTTTTCATCTTCTAGTACACTAATGTTGGACTTCTGGTTTCCCATACAAACATTACTTAAACTAATTATTTCTCCCTACTCAGATAGTTTGGCATTCCAACATTTCAAGCTTCCTCTTAGCATCTCATTTAATCCCCCAACCCTTAAAACTGACACCTCGATACCTTTGTTTTTGTGAGGAGAGCTCCAAGACCCCAGAAGGTTCCACCTCCAATTGAGCTCCCTCCGATCCATTCAAATTTGTCTTCTGTTTCTACCTGTCAATAAAACAAGGCAGATCTGTCTAGAAAGTCCTATTATAACTATAAACACACAGTCAGATATGAGAGGACGTGGGTTTTTTTGAACAGTGGAATTAGTGTAGGCAGTAGTATTTAATTGTGTAAATATCAGGTGAGAAGTTCTCCAGAGGTACATGTTCCACATACTTACACCACAAGCAGTTTCTGAAATCTCTGTATTTAATTCTTGGCCAATAATCCTAAATATAGACATCAAATTTGGTCCCCTCAACAGTGTACCCAAACAAACAAACATTAAAAACCACCCTGATCTGACAGCCTGCGTCCTCATCAGTTAAAATAACAACTTCTCTAAACACCAAATTAAATGTGATTAAAAAGAAACTACGGTAGTGAATGGAAAAGCATTCATAACTCTAAGAAATGGAAATTAAAAAAAAAAAAAAATCATTATTTTCTTTCTAAACTTTTTATTACCTAAGAAGAAACAACTACAAATCTAAACCAGTAAGATGTTTCAGATCATCTTTATCAAATTCTACAGTAAAACACTTTAGCAACCACTCACCTTCACTATAGAAACCCCAGAGCCAATATTCACCAGTAAATAAGGGAAAATATTTGGGTGGTTCGTCTGAAATCGGAACTCTGTATCTGAATCTTTCTGGTATGCAAACACTTCATGGGGTATGTTCCTTAGCACGAAGTTGCATCCTTTAATTAGGCAGGTCATTACATCTTCTTTATCTACTCTGAGGGGAAGGGGGAGAAAAAACATCCTTACGTAAATTTGACAGTCCTATTGATAAGCCAGTATGCTTTTAGAACAGTAGTTTTCAAAGACTTTACAAACAGGAGATAGTAACCCACACCACATGGCAGAAGTCCAGATCTCTTAAAACATGAAACCTACATCTGCATATGTTCTGATGTTCATCTTCCATGCCAGAACACACCGTCCGAGGCTAGACTGTAGTTACACAGTAACTTTAATCTTACATTAATCACCCTGTCCTTCAAAAATAATCCTGCTCCCGTTTGCTTGTTTACACTGCCTCTTTAGTGCCCTAGTGCTAGCACAAGTATATATGCACCCGTGCGATAAAGTAGGTCAGGAAACTTATCTGGAAATTAACCTTACAAAACAATTTCCTAACACAGAATAATTTTCTATTGCTCTTCCTGTTCCTTCCCAGTCAAGGAAAAAAGGCTCCCCTCAACATTTTGGCACTCGTTTATGACAGATTAAAATACTGCAAGGAGCCTACTACTGGGATTACCAAACACAGGAAAAAAAGACCTCTCACAAGAATAACAGGATTCACAACAGTATATATCCTGAGTATGGAGTCTAGGAACGTGATACATAATTTAGACAAGACGAATGATGTAGTTACGTCAGCTAACACTTACTGACTTCTGCCGACATCTATAGCTTATGCATTGTTACTGATTTATGGTAAATTTCTTACACGAAATATGCTAAATTTCTGACAGGAAATCATAAGCCTTGTTGAAAACACAGAAACAAAGCAGAAATATACACCTCAGTTAATACAGAATGCTTTATGTTTGTGAGGATGGAGACGGTGCTGCTTTCTGGGCCTGTGGATCAACTAAGTATGTCATTACCAAATAAAAAACAAAGAAACAAAACCCAGGTGCACCGCATGAGAAAAGGGGGGAATTGCCTCCTTGTCTTGATTAACTGATACTTAGTAACAGCCAATCAGGTACTGATGTAGGCTGGTTTGGAAAACAGTTAACAGAATCCTACCTATCAGAAGAAGAAAGTTATTTGAAACAGTAGTATAAAAGAAATTGAACACAGTACCTCAGAAACTGAAGCATGTACTACACAGAATTACAGCATGGGAGCTACCTCGAAGTTTTCCCCAGTAATATCAGGTAATGTTTTACAGTGGTGTAAAGTAATGATTTTTTTATCTATACTTATAGCAGCTTTTTAGCATATGGTGTTTTTGATAAAGATTTTGAGCGGCAAATTTATGAGGCTGTAAATTCATGAGACTGTCCTTTAGTATCCTGCAAGCCTATGCTTCTGCATGAAGTTTAGGTAGGAGCTATGCAGTAAGTTACTATATCATATTAATTACTTGCTTCTGAGTGTGCACGGAAAAATGTTAGAAGCTTTTGGAACTCTAACTTGAGAGGCTAGGCGACTACAGAGATTAGATATATCCAAGAAAAAGCGTCTGCCAACAACACTTTGGCTTTTAATAATGAAGTTGTCTTGTGGATTTCATCCTTAGGCTTTAAGTAGAAAGACTGATATGCTTAAACACACCTCATCACAGTAACTGATCAAAGATTCTCAATTAAAATTCATCAGTAATGAATTTACCAACTACTTACTACTTTATTTCAAATATTACTTCATTTTATATACCACTGTAGGCTTGGTGTATTTGGATCTCTACTCTGGTAGAGTTCAACAGCGTGTCCACAGCATGCTACTGATAGCCAGGATACCATCACTGAAATGCTGCTAGTTGTGAGGTGAAAAGTAAAAACCATTATCGTAATCATGACAGAGGTTGATTTAACTTAAAAATGGAGTAGGTGCAAGTTGGATCCTTTCTAGAAAAAAGCTGTGGTAATACCCTGCTCTCCTTTTTGCTTTCTCCTGAACCCCGTGCTCCTGTCTGTTGGCTCCACTCCTGCACCTCTACTGTGTCAGTCAACGATACGGTTATCTGTTTGCAGCTTATGTTCACTAACAAGCCGATTCAGCCTGGTCTGACCAAGATGCGTACACACGTTGTGCTGCTGCTTCGCTCTTGTGGTGTAGATGGCTTTTGAGGGCAGATGGGCGAAGTGGAAAGTTAGCCTACTAAAATTTCATCAAAGAAGAAATACACTCCTATAACTAAGTTTAAATAGTTCCACTTACTTCAACCCCAGCTTCTTCTCAATAAGATCTTTGAATTTATAGGCACCACCACCTGTAGCTTTGATGACTTTTGTTTCTGTATTGACAAGATGGTCTTTGATGAAATCCAGGCAGGTTTCAATATAAGTGTTTTCAAATTTAATGAAGTGAAGTCGAGCTGTAATCTCCTCCTGAACCGATATTTCGTACAAAGGTTCATTTTCTATGTCCTTTAAAAAGAAAAGAATTTCTTGTAGATCATTCAAAATCCTTCCTCGAGAAACAAGGTTCTATGCTAAACTACTGAACATCAATATCTGTACTTCCTTTGCCTTGAAACTTTGTTAACGCTATTAAAAACATAACATCCCAAGCTACTTTCAAAGAATATAGTTTCAACAGATCTTAATACTCCTTAAGCTGAGAATACAATCAAGTCTCCCATGCATTAGACATGCATGAAATATCTCTGTATGAGAAAAGTTATGTTTACATGGGAGTACGGGTTTTTACAAAAGTACCATACTTATCTGTCTAGAAAATAATTATTTCAAACACTAACTGGCAATTGAAGCACTTCCAAGAAGTCAAGGAACGTACTGAGTTTGCCTGTGCATGGGCTGCACAACTCTGAAGCCCTGCAATCAGTCTTTCGGTAAAGAGAACATGTATGATGTATTAACATGTGAATTTAGATCTAGAGCTGTATTAAGCTTGCAAAGCAAAAGTAATTGCCAAACCCATGCTAACAGCTAATTTCCCCTGGAATATAGCAAAGGGTTGTTAACAGGAGCCACACACTCATCTGAGCTGCGGTAAAAATGCTTAGGGATGGCTGTTGCCAGTACATACTAGAATGTGTGTTTAAAATAAACATTTCAGCTGTGACAACTTACTTCAGAGTAACAGACATTAGAAGGTCATACTTCAACTCTAAGAAAGGTCTAGATAAAGTTTTACATAGAATAATTTACTAGATGGGTTTCAGATGAAATTTCTATTCTACTATGAGAAGCCAGTCCAGTACTTCACTCTGCAGTCAACTGCATGCAACTGATTAATGACACAATTCTTACCTTTCCAGAATGATCAAAGGATCTCACTCTTGCCACTTTGTGCTGCACAGTTGAATAATAAGCCAATTTAGTTAATGAACCACCTGTTAGTAAAAAGATGACAAGTTACGATTAATGCCTCACCTTAGAGCAAATAATATAACTTATGTTTATGTATGCTTTACCTAAGAGTTCTTGGTTTTTAAGATCTCCTCAGCTACAGCCAGACATAATTAAACTAAGCGCATAACACAGTGAGCCAAAGAACCCTTGTCTGGAAACTGATTTGCACAGTTAACTCTAAATGCACTACTCGTGGGACAAGCTCCATGAGTGGAGCTTATGGCCAACTGATGTGGGGAAGACTGAAGATGAGCAGGAGTAAGTGCAAGTTCTTAACTGGCTAGGCTAGCACATAGATAGTGAGATATATCTACCTGTTATTTATCTTGTTTGAAAACTCTTTATAGAAACCCCCAAATCTCTTGCTTATAAGAGGATTTTATAAGTAGGTTTGCCACAACTGAGCAATGCATGCCATATGCACAAACAAAAATTGTCTCTTGAGGAACTCTTAAGTAAATATTCTTAACCTGCTTCCAAGGAGAAGCTACAAATTCATAGCTGGTTAGAAGATGACTCTATGTACTGAATAACTATTTTGCAAGACTATTCTTGGCTTTGAGGTAAAGAACACTTAGAATGATGTTCCTCAGGCATACTAGTTAGTGACAATACCAACATGTAAGTCTGAGCAGACCAGCCCCATCACCTTCTTCAGGCCTTGAGTCTGCTTACATCAAGGCAATAAAACAACTTCCAACTCTCATCTTGAAACAGAACTTAAGCACTTGCCCTATCTGTGCTGTCTCTGCATCTGACCTGCAAAAGTGTCTTTATGAAGTTAGACTGAGTAACTTCACTGATTATTTTTTTTTTTCCCCTTAGGACAAAGGAGTACCTGATGGTGCTTCTGATACCTCTGGTATCTTAATCAAGTAGATATTTGAGCCTGAAAGTAGGAGGCTGTCAAAGCCTCCTTATTTTTGTTAAAATAAGCTTTTAATATTTTTCCCCTTCAGAAAGAAAAATGCCTCTTCAACTACTCCTGAGTATCAGGATCTGATTAAGGTATCAGTTTGCTTCATAAACCTCTAAGCTGCTTTGGCTGTTGAAGAAAAACCCTCAATTTTAACTCAGCATAAAAAGTACCCTGGGCTGCAGACCGTAACTGCCCGTCTGTACAGAAAGTCACTTCTAACTGCGTCCATGCTCTTGGAACAGGAGCACAAGGCAGTCAGGTGGTCCGTGTATCTCAGTGCTACAGGCCTAACATATAGCTGAATTTAAGTCTGCACGCATTGCTTGCCTCTTGCCAAAGATCTGACATGCTGTGTACAAGACGGGAAGTAATTATGACCAACGATTGGGTGAAAATTAAAGTCCCAACAGTAAATAAGAACCTAGCAATGTTAGATCATAACATAATTCAGTGGCCCTACGGTCTGCTGCCTTATAAACAAGTGTAATCAAGAAATGCAGCATGGGCAAGTGAAAACTAATTGCTAGTGCTTATAGTCTTGCCTTTATAACAGTACTCTCATCTCTTCCATAGGGCTCAAATAAACAAGTAAATTTTTGCGACCTGTAGGAGAAAAACAGGAGGCTTTCTCTAGCAAAATTAAAGTGAGGTCAATTTAGAGTGATCATTGACAGACACTTATAGTAACAAAAACAGTAAAGCTTTCCTGACCTCAGTTCTTATTTCACTGTATTAGCAAATGCTTCAAAGTTTCTGGTAAACAAAATCCAAACTCTGTTCTGCTAGCTCATTCCTTAAAGGTGAGGTTTTTCTTAGCTTTTGTAAAAAAAACTAAACCCAGTAGCTCTGTGCTATGAGGAAAAGCTTCCTTCCAAACCTCTAAGTAGAGGAATTGTGAACCTTGTGTTGGAATGTCATAGTTTGTACAACACTGATAGTGATACAGGTGCTTCAGCAATTAATTTATCACCAGATAAATAGTATGTAAAGCTATGCTTTATACATTCTCCCCTTCCTATCCCAGTTTTTAAAGACTTAAATCTATTCAGAACACCAGCTGAGACATGTAACTAGGCTTTATAACTAATCCCACAACTCTAATTCTACTCTGACCCACAGCAAGGACCGACTCCAGCTGTTATTTTAACAGGCATGAAACAAGTAGCTTCTGAAGGAGTTAAGTGCACTTGTGATATGACAAGATCCTATATTATGGCGTGTATATTCTTCCCACTACACATAAGTCTACGCCACCCAGAGCAGCGTTAACGAGAGGGCTAATGGAGGCTGGCACCAGTACCACATTGTCCTGTGGCTGGAGAACACTTTTCTCCTGGCTTCCCTACTGAATAGTTCCACTGACCTAGTAACTGCAAAAGAGAAGCAAACCGTGTGAACTGGCATTTTTGGTTTTGCAGATCTCCACAGAATGAATACTAATCCCTGCACAGGTGAAACTATTGTTAGCAGGCTTAGCTCAGCTGTGTCCCAGCACGGCCCAACGCACCAGCGCGGCTCCGTGCTGGGGAGCTGTGGTGCTCAGGTGTCACCGTGATGTGTGTTACTCCGGCTGTCCCTCGGTGCAGACTGCTGTGCGCCCAGGAATGTTGTGTTCTCAGGCTTATGCGGGGGACACGAGGCGTCTCTGGGGGTGACCGCGGAAGCAAGGGCGGCCAGCTCCTGTCACAGGCCCCCAACCCACGCCGAACCCCGCAGCCCCCCCGCTTTGCCGGGCAGGCGGGACGGCAGCCCTCCCCAGCCCTCCCCCTTCCTCCAGGCCCGCTTCGGGCGCAGGGAGGAGGGCACGCAGCCCCCCGCTCGCTGGGGCCGGCCGGGGGGGGATCC